TTGCGCTTTGGATTGACCTAGGTATAATATGCTGCATATTCTAATTGACTCCGTATAAGTCCTTTATACCCTATATTTATTAGTTCCCTTGGAAGCCTGACAGATGCTTTTGCTAATAATCCCATACTAGAGTGGCATTTTTTAACGGTTGTATCGATTTGTTCTTTGAATTGGAGATGTTGATTTATAGTGACTTCTAATAGCTTAACATGAGTTACTGGTTGAATTTCAGTATTTTCAATTTTAATGTGTAGGTTTTCAGGGAGTCTTTTTCTTGGTGATTTGAACACTATCAGTTGTGTTTTACCGAGGTTAATAGTGAAACCATAATCAACACAGAATTTATTTGTATCTCCATACGCTTTGACTAATTTTTCAGTGACAACTTGTAGTGAGCTGTCTGCAGCTGATAGGGTAATGTCGTTAGCAAATAAATAAGACTCACTTGTTAATGATTGTGAAAGATCTCTTAAGTAGATTTTGAATAGTTCTGGGCTAAGGCTTCCACCTTGAGGTATGCCTCTTATTATAGGCTTCCATTGGGTGATCTTATTTCCGCTTTTCACCCTTTGAACTCTTCCTTCAATGTAATTTTGAAATAGTTTACCAGCTTTTTGGTCTAGTCCTATTTTGGCAAGCTCATTTAGTAGACTTTGATGTGGAACACTATCAAAGATGGGTGTCTCTGCCAAAGAACCGGAGTATGGAGAATGTTCACCTCCTAACAAACGTCTTCTGACATCTCAAGCCTCTAAAGATTCTGGAGTCAAAAAACAACTTCTCGTGGCTATTGCAGAAGGAGTTCAAGAAAACTACACAAATGTTAAACTCATTCTCTCACTTCTTGCTATTAAAGATATCAATTTTTTTATATCTTGTGATATAAAGTTAACAAACATCATTTGTGACTTACAAGCTCATTCTTCTTCCCATCCCTGTACTTGGTGCAATGCAGAGAGTTCAAACTTTTCAAATTGTGGGACACTTCGAACTTTTGAGTCTTTGAAGCAGCCTTTCAATGAGTTTACAGAAGCTGGCTCAAACACAAAAAATATCAAGAAGTTTGGAAATGTGGTTCGTGAACCAATAATCTCACTTGGTGATTCTGCTTTTGTCTTTGACCTCATACCACCAATAAAGCTTCATCTGCTTTTGGGAATAGTAAACCATCTCTTCAAGATTCTCAAAAACACGTGGCCAAAAGCAGTTGAGTGGCTTCAAGCATTGAACATAAAAGCTCAGGTCTTTCATGGAAGACAATTTGTTGGAAATGATTGTCATAAACTGCTTAAAAACCTCAACATTTTGAAAACTCTGGCAGAAAAAGATGTTGCCTTGCATGTCATTCCAATTATTAAAAGTTTTCGAAAATTTGGAGAAGTTGTGTCAGCATGTTTTGGCAACAAGTTCGGTGAAAGCTTTGGAGAAAAAGTTAATGTTTGCAGAAGCTCCTTTCTAGCTCTGCCATGTGGGAGTGTGACACCCAAGGTGAGCACTGTTTTTTTTTTCACGTAAAAGACTTTATCTTTAAAAACAAATCTTCTCTCAGAATTTATAGTGAACAGACTACAGAAGCCATACACCATCATTTCAAAACACATTGTACAAGATACAAGCGCCCCATTGGTCATCCAGAACATGGAAAGAGGCTTGTTCACTGCCTTGTGGACTTCAACAACAAGAATTTTTGATAAAATTAGTCATGGTGAAGAGAAAATTAAAGAAAATTCAAAAATTTTTTTTTGGAATTGAATTTACATGCAGTTTTGTTTCCAAATCTGAATTTTTTTCTTGAATACTTATGTTTTGAAAACTTTATTGGTTCATAGAAAAGTTTTATTTTTAAAGAATACTGTAAAAATGCAAAATTTTTGAATGCTGTCATTTCACATTTCGGTGCAATAAATAATAAAATTCAACATTGTTTTTCTTTCTCGGACGTAATAGGATGATTTGACTTTTGGTATTTCTGGAATCCTCAGGTCATAAACTTTCACAGGCATTTGGCGGTTTCTCTGGGAACAGACTTGACACCTAACCCGGTTTCAGGAGGACGGTGGAATGTATTTTATACAATTATATATTATATGTTATATAATATATCCTTGATTTTATATAACTTTAATTATTTTTTTTTAATTAATTTAAATATTGCTTTTTAAATACATAAATCGAATGGAAAATAGGGTTGGGGACAACTAAATGCACATACATTGACTGAAAAATAGGGATTAGCGCAATTAAACGTACATGATTTGGGACAGGGTTAGCATTTTTTAACAGTTTTACATTAAATTGTTGATAGAAACCAGGCTTTTAAAAATCATCTTCGATAAGGGTTTTAATTATAACCGAGAATGAAAAAAATGGCAAATATTAGCAGTTTTTAATGTAATTTTTAATGATTATTTCTGATTGAAAAAGTTGAACAATTTAAGCTGAATTATTAAGAGAGAAATCAAAACTTGAGGGAAAGTTAGCTAAAAATTCAAATCCATAACAATATAATTGAAATTGATTACATTGATTTGATCTTTATTTTAGTTTACTAAATTTTTAGTTGTGTAAAGTATTTTTCTTTATGTAAAAATTGAATAGACAGTTTTGTTTATATTTATAATGAGTTTTTAATATTTACTTTATTTTAATACGCTTTTTATTTTAGAGAAATAAATATATTATTGGTTAGCCTCTAAATTTTACCCTTCTTATTGAATTAGTATTTAACAGTAAGTATTCTATTTCTGAATAAGTATTTTATAGCAGTGTTTACATACAGTTCATTTCAGATTAACCGTAAGTAAATCGATAAGTAAACCGTAAGTAAGCTCTATACCATTAATTTATTTAGATGCAAGGAAATTACAAACAAATATCAAATCAATTAGAGCCTAATGCTCATGCAATTAAAGCTACTATGACGATGATTTATAACCTATAATATATATATATATATATATATATATATATATATATATATATATATATATATATATATATATATATATATATATATATATATATATATATTTATGTATATATATATAGCATATAAAGCATATCACTCACATATTCAAATGTAACAATCTTAAAATATCTATACAGTGCAACCTCAAAATTGTGAATTACCTTGACGTTACTCTTAACCTCTGCAACCAGTTATACCAACCATACTGCAAACCTGATAATACTTTAAAATACATACATGCTCAATCTAACCAACCTCCTAATATACTAAAACAACTACCGCAAAATGTTGAACTCAGCTTGTCCGGAAATTCTAGCAGCGAAGAGGTGTTTAAAAAATCTGTACCTATTTATAATGAAGCACTACGAAACTCTGGTTATAAACATAATTTACCTTCCGACCTAACTTGAAACAACAACAAAAGAAAAACCGTACGCGTAAAATAATCTGGTACAACCCACCCTATAACATAAATGCCACCACAAATATAGGAAAAAGCTTTTTAAACTTGATTGTCAAACATTTTCCAATTAACAACAGACTACACAAAATTTTCAACAAAAACACAGTAAAAATCAGCTAAAGTTGCATGCCAAACATGAAATCAATAATAAATTTACACAACAAGCACGTCCTAAACAAAAATCTAACCATTAATAAAGATAACTGCAACTGCCTTAATAAAAACAATTGTCCTTCACACATTAACTGCTTGACTAACAACATTGTATACCAAGCAACCATCACTTCAGATAACCCTTCAATAAAAAAATCATACATTGGTATTTGTGAAAAATCTTTCAAACTGAGATATGCTAACCATTTGAAATCGTTTAATATCCCCAAGTATAGAAACAATACAGAGCTGTCAAAGGAGGTTTGAAACTAAAAAGATAATGATAAAAATCCTGTGATTAATTGGAAAATAATTAGAAGATGTGAAGCATATAATCTGACAACAAAATCGTGCAAATTATGCCTTAATGAAAAATATGAAATTATTTCAAATAATGACAATAGTTTATTAAATAAAAAGACTCAAATTATATCAAAATGTCGGCATAAAAATGAATTCCTTCTTCGTCAATTCGACACAGGCTAAAGGTAGACTTCGTGTATTCGATGTTTTGACGTCAGATCCGATTGCATTACTTAATTTGTATTTTGAACGGTTTTTTTATTTTCTTGATTTAAAAAAATATATATGGCTGATGATTGCCGCCAGGCATGAAACTCTGAGTACCAACAAAAAGTTGTATTTTTTTCATTTTAATACTAAATAATTATATTAGATCTATTATAAAAATCTTTGTTTTTATAATATTGATCACTTTTAAACGAACAAGAGTTTTTTTGTACATTATTATACAAAAAATATTATACAAAAAATATATACATATATATATATATATATATATATATATATATATATATATATATATATATATATATATATATATATATATATATATATATATATATATATATATATATATATATATATATATATATATATATATATATATATATATATGAAATATTTACTGTATTAGGCATCCTATACTTTTTAACTATTTAAAAGTTAAGAAACATTAAAAATGAGGCTATTGTAATAATAGTATTGTCAGGGGCAGGTAACATTTTTGATGAAAAAAGAGATTGTTTGTTGCCCAAAACTGAATAGCAACTCTTTTTGCACAATATTCCTAAACTTTAAAAAATCTTTACATAAGTGATTACTGCAAATAAAATTAGACAATAGCCTGCTGCTGCTACATCCATTATCTTTATCCTGCTGCTACAAAGGAGTGCTACTACATTGACTATCTTATAGCCTGTTTCTACAAGGAAGTGCTGCTACATTGACTGTGGATTTGTCATATGACAGCAATCTTTTTTTTATTATTATTCCAATTAAAATTTCTAATGTTTTAAAACTCTTCACTAATGAAAAAATAAAATTATTTTAGAGCGCTAAACTGTAGCTTGAACTGAAATTACATTTTATTTTTTTATTTAATTTACACATTCTGGGTCACATGTCTTAAATATATAAAGTAAAAATAAATTCCGGCATTCCGGCCTTAAATATTATAATTCCAGCCGGAACTGAAATAACCTAAAAGTCACAAATTCCGGCCGGAATTCCAGTACATCTCTACAGTAAATTAGTAATTTATATTTATAATTTCTATTTTTTTAAATTTGTCTGTTTGATAGAATGCTATTTAAGTTCATCATTTCCTTGATGAACCTATTAAAATTGCTCTCATTTAACCAGAATATTGTGTAAAAGGTAAATTATTATTTATAAATTGAGAATTATCTTGGTTACCCATACTCATTTACATTCTGTAGAGTTTTTCATAGTCTTTTTTTTTTTTTTAAATAATTTTGTCTTATATTTGATTGAGTAGTTATTATTTTGTTGCTTTTATAAAACAACGATGAAAAACAACCAAATAAATCTAATCCTTTCTTATTCGAACATGAACTTTTTACAATTCTTTTAATTATGTTTTAGCTTTGTCACCTCAAGAAAGCAGGTGGAAAAAATGTTATCGTCAAGTATTTTTGTTCAACTCTGGATAATGAAACAGTTTAAATAGTGAGTAAATTTTATAGAAAAATCTAGCCCAAGGAAAGTAATTTAGTAAAACAAATAATTTTAATATTATTATTAATATTATGTTTGGGGAGAACCTTAATGAATTGAATGCTTATTGAATAGGATAAAATCAAATTTGCATACAGGTATCTATGGTTAGTTGGATATCCGAATTCCTGTGGTAAGAAATGTTAAACACAACAATTCAACAGACCAAATCATTATTCCTATCATGATCTAAACATGATGGGCCAAACATAACATTAGAAATGTTGCATTAATGAGAATTAACAGTACATTTCTCCTGGCAGAACCAATTTTTTATTTTGGTGCGTGAATTGTATCATAGCGTGAGATTTAATGGTTATCAAACAATTTTCAATGTATAAATTAAACAACTTTATCAACTTTTAAAAAGTGTTTTACGAAAACTGCCCCATTCATTTAGGTTCTCCCCTGTAGGGTTAGGACTGTTGTAATTGTAATGAAAACAATAACAGAAACAATAAATATTGTTATTGTATTATCTTTTTTAGAAACTATAACAATACTTGTGATTTACAGTTATTTCAATACTTTAATACAATAACAAAAAATAATGTATTGCAATTCATTGTCATAATACAATAACAATATCTGAAAAAAATGTATTGCAATGACACACTACAATAGCAATAAATATTGTATTTGTCTTTATAATACAATAAGAGTTTATTGTTATTGTAATAAAAAAGATTATTTTTATGTCAAAATTTAATAATTATTTTAACAGCCCAGTCTCTGATATATGTGACCTTGAAATAGGGTACAACTAATATATAATTATTGATTCTATTTCTATTTTATTTATTGAATATCACTTGTCCTAGTTGCAAACTTTATGTAGCTCTATAAAAGTGAGTTTGATCTGACCTGTACTTCTTTTACTGCTGGGGATAGACATGATCAATTACTACCATTTCTTCCACTTAGTTATTTGCATTTACATTAGGCACCTATCTGATTGTTTTGAAACTTACTCAACTAACACTTAGTCTAATATACTTTGTCTTTTGATTCCCTGAGGCTTTTATGGCTGTATGTGTTTCATAAAGTAACTGGACCTTTGGATCTAGTTGCAAAGCTATACAAGAATTTTGTAACATAAACCAAGAATATTATTTATTTGGTATTCTAAACTGAAGAAGAACATTATTTATTTGGTAAACCCATAAAATTAATGGTACAATCTGATAGGTGATGAACAATCTGAAAATGTAGAAAGTTTTTTTATAAAACAAAAGTAGTTTAAATTTTTAAACAATCTAATCGATAATTACCCAGGTTAACGGTTCTCTGATTCCATAACGCTGTAATTTATTACTTATTAGCGGTTAGTTATTTTGAAAAAAAAATTATTTTCATGCGCTTTATGTAGTTAATCAATTAATTAATGTCATCATCCAGTGAAATATTTCAATATCAGTTTAGACAAAATTATAAAAAAAACAAAAATTTCACTTCACAAAGTAAATATTTAATTAAAATCATATGATAAATTGTATATTTGTATGATTTTGAATAAATATATTAATAATAATAATTCTAAATAAAATTTATATATGTAAATGGTTGCTAGAAATGGGCGCCACGAGCGCCCCTGGACCTAATATTTATTAAGTATACGTAATATATATATACTTCTTTGGCTTTCCTGGCTTCACTTCACTTCTCAAAATAAATATATAAATGACTGCTAAAAATGAGCGTCGCAGCCACCTGAATTTTCTAGTGTCCAAATAATAGTAAATGGGTGGAAAAAGAATCTAAATACATTTAAATATTGGACTTTGAAATATTAATACAATGTACCACAGTACTTATTGTAATTGTTTTTTATCCCGGCAATGCAATACAATAGTTATTGTAATTGTTTTACATCACAGTAATACAATACAATAGTTATTGTAACTATTTTTAATCACAGCAGTACAACAACTATAAATAATGTTTTAATTACATCTCTGGTATTACAATACAATATTGTATTGTAATGTGTTATTGTATTTAGTTTTTACAATTACAATAGTCCGAACTCTACTCTCCTGTAGTTTTCAGCTTTAATTCGATGTCGAAACTTTAAATATTAAGCATACAAAAATGAAGAACCTTTCGAAATTATACTTTGTGAATTATTACTCTAATATGTGTTTACAATTATTTAAATAAGTTCGCTGGATGGCATGATGTAGTATTACAAAGTAGCTATTTTCCATTTATTATTTGTTATTACGTTTTTATAGAATTATGGAACATCATGTTATGGCCAAGTTGAATTGGAAAGGCAAAGTTCGTGGTGATATAAAAAAGGTATCATTCGAAGATAAAAAGTTGTGTAAAGCAATAATTGGTAAGTTAATAATAGCTCTATATTGTTCTATCTATACCTTCTTTTTTACATGTGTTTTCTATTCTTAGATATATATTAGTCTTGAACTATGAACGTTAACGTTAAAAATCTAACAAATAGTCAGTTATAAATAAAATACTTATTTAACTGTCATCCCGTTTACAGTATCTCATGTTGTATTTTAGAAGTCATCCAGCCAATGCACAAGTCTTTGACGGAAGCACAAATAAAAAAATTAAATAGGAAGCATTTTAAAGTTCTCTCCATTTGTTATTGGTAGCAAAAAAAAATTAATTAAAGAAGCAAGTGATTGTCGAACAATTATTTATTTTTGAGTTTTTTGTAAATTTAAAATATATGCTATATACAAAAGAATATATAATACATCTTTGAAAAAAACCTTTAAAAACAGTAATTGTATTTTTAATTAGAATTTCCCCGAAATTATTTTTCTAACCCTTTGTAAGGGGTTAAAAACTCTTATATCAACTTTGAATATTGATTGTAATTGTGTTTAACATTCAATGTTAATATAACTATACGGTTACATTCATATAATAACCATGACACAAAGCCGCGTATAAACGGCTTCAGTTCAGGGTTATTTGAATATAACTGTATAACTAGATGCAGTCCTTTTTTTCTAGAAAAAAAGGTGCCGGAACTCTACCTTTTACATATGTAAAATATGAAACAGCCAATGACGTATAAAATAACGAAAAGCGTGACTCGTAACTTTTTGCGTATAACTTAGTGAAGCCAGCGTCCGCCATATTGCCGTACGGCAAAAACATCAGACGCGTCTATAAAAACAGAGAATTCCCGGTTGTACAAATATTGATTGCTTTTCGCTTACTTAAAAAAGTGACTAATATATTGGGAGTTTCTAAAACGCCGAATTCTAAAAAGCCGAAATGCCGAAAAACCTTCTATGAGAAACTGAATAAAATCGGAATGAAAGCAATGAAAAACCGGTAGTCAACCCCCGCATTAATTTTTAAGTTGTTGTTTTGAATTCTATTAAAAAAATTCAAAACATGTAAAATTAAAAAAATAGTGTAGCAATAAGTTTTGTATTGCTATGGCATCTGTGTATCGTACATCGAAGTTAGAGTGATTTTTAGCTATAAGGTAAGTTTAGTGAAACCTGCACAATAAGAGAAAAGTCTCTAACTATTGTTAAATATGCACAATAATCTGTTATCACAACAAGAGTAAAATTTTTTTTAATTAAATTTTTTTGTTGTTAATTTTTTCTATATGTTTCTTTATTCTGTGTTAGTTAACACAGATTAAAGATTAATTAATCTTTAATAGTTTTTTTAATCTACGTTAGTTTTAATTTTTAATAAGAAAATTAGAGGTTTGAAAGAATTGGAAGTTTCTTTTTTTAGTTTTTTTTTTTTTTAATTTAATATTTTTATTTACATAATATAAAGTAATCTTTGAAGTATGCCTGTTTCAATAGTTGATGGTTGATCCATCTGTTTGTTTCAATAGTATGGTTGATCCATCAGTTTGACAAACCTCAACACGGCTGTTTCAGAGTGGACATACGGCTTCTTGTTATTTTTTGAAAATAATTACTTAGGGGGTGTTACTAAAACTACAATAGACGAAATAAAAAAGTCGCAAAATTTTTTATTTTTTTTAAAGATTTAAAACAAACAAAAAGAGTTTCCAATTATTTTTGCTTTCGGTCGTAGAATAATTTTCTGACACTTAGATCGATATTACAATATTAACACTTTTCTGTGGAAAAATAACACATTTTTTATAAATATGCATAACAATATAGGCAATTTAAATAATTTGATAAATATCGTTTTGGTGGATTGACATAAATAATTTTTTTTTCAGTTAATATATTTATATATGTTCTATATATAAAAATATAAAATATAATATTTGTCTCGCCAAAACAGTAGTTCAGTTGAAATTGCTAAGATAATTGCTTGGGACGTAACGCATTTAAGGTTATGTCATCGCTTTTTAATGTTGGTAAAAATCTACGCGAAAACTGAAAATATTTGTTGCTAAACATGCTAAGTTTGAAAAGATAATAGCTGACATAGCTAGAGGTACAGAAAATAGGTTTTTTGTTTTCATATGCATAAAAGGTTAAAATTTCAATAACTTATGTTACTGATCAAAAATGTTAAATTTTACATTTAAAAATAATAAAATTAAATATATAAATGCTATGAAAATTTTTTTTTTTGACAAATACACACCAGTAATGTTAGAATATGATAAAATAGACACTCATTAATAAGTGCTCTAAATTTCAACCGTTAAGCATGTAGCTATGTCAGCTAATCTTTGTTGGCTTAAGACAGGATTTCATTAAAAATCTCAAAAAACAGAAAAGTGATCCCAAATCAATTTCAATATTTTAACAATATTTTATTATAGTCCGTTTAATGTAAATATTTTTTTAACAAGGAAAGATAGATCTTTTATTTATTTTTAATTCAAAGATGAAAGCATTTATAGAAAAAAAAAAACTATTATTTTGAAGTTAGTGAATTTTTATACTTTTTATGCGGAAATACTTTTTTTTTTGATAAACTCATGACGTCATGCTCACTTTTATATAGAGTGAAACAGCCGTGCAAGCATATATACTGCTTTTACGTTATGTGTTTTTTATCTTTAAATAAATTTGTGTCTTTCCCAATAAGATTCTTTGCTTTTAAATTTGCCCAATGGCTGGTTTTATTTTTTTATACGTCAAATTTTTTTAGTATACTAATAAAATATATATACGTGTATAAATATGTATAATTACGTGTATAATATGTATAATTACGTGTATAAATATGTATTTTTTTAGTATACTAATAAAATATATATACGTGTATAAATATGTATAACTTTTTTTAAATGTCTGCATCAACCTTCTAAATTTAAGAGGTCGTGCCGCAGTGGTTAGAGCTCTTGCTTTAGAAGCAAGAGATCCCGGGTTCGAAGCTTTGGGCATATTTCGCTCCAATGGTAAGGAAGGACTAAACTTCCTATTTAAATGCTCTTCCGCGGTGCTTTGCAACAAGAACGTTAGGTCTTCTTGGGGTACCTAAAACATATATATATATATATATATATATATATATATATATATATATATATATATATATATATATATATATATATATATATATATATTTATATATATATATATATATATATATATATATATATATATATATATATATATATATATATATATATATATATATATATATATATATATATACATATATATATATATATATATAAAACAGAATACTGAGTGTGCCTACTGCTCCTCAAGACAATGAATAATGGGAGTTATCAATATGTAAATAGACCATTATTAAAAATTAAATTAATTTAAATTAATTAGTGACACCACAAAATCATTTCCTAATAAATCCCGGTGACAAATTTTGTGACTTGAAGCCTTATATAAATAAAATAAAGTACTTGATCAAGTACTTTATTTTATTTATATAAGGAAAACAGCCATGTTTTCCTTAAATCAGCTGAAACAACAACAAAAGACAATATATTTACCAGCAGTATAGATATTTTACATAAGCATGTTATAAATTACAAAAAATATATCTGCAGTCTACATTCTGGATGGTTCACTCTTATATAGCTTGTCTAAATTGAGGAGAGCGATCATAAACAAAATAAAACATAAATAAATAATATAAAATAAATAATACACACACAGAAGGTTGCTATTAGTCAACATTCATTTTTATATCTTATATATCTTCTATGGTGATATATATTTTATAACTAGTGATACAATTGTTGTTTCTGTTTATCTTGATGTAACAACTATTGATTTAATTTAGTTTTGAGGACACTTTTTTTAATGTTGTAAAAAGGGATTGTTTTTGATATATTTTAAAGTTAATTCCAGTCCATTAATGCAAAATATTTAAAGGAATGTTTACCGTAGGATTTTGTATTATATGTTTACACACTCAGTGCACCTCTACAAGATATACTTGTGAGTTGACAGCTAATTGCACCACAAAGAAAAACCATTTATTAAATATTGAGCTGTTTATGCAGCTGCGAATTAGTAAACAATTTTCAATTTTGATTATGTCATGTAATTTTGAAATTTGTAGTATTTTAAAAATGTGAATGTATGGGTACTTTTTGGTAGAAATTCAATAATCCTGACCATGTATGTCCTAATCAAGTTATTATATTAAAACTGTCTAGTAAAAGGATAATTCTTTACTGTTTAGAAACAAAATGGACTTTGTATATGAAGTTCAATATTTTGTTAAAACTAGAAAAAAAACTTTCATTTAATTCCCCATTATAAGACAAAAATTAATACATTACACACTAAAAACAAAACAAAATTGTTATATAGTCAAGATTTTTAATTCGATTGAAAAATTAGAATTTTTAAAAAAGCCAATATTCTCAAATAATGTAGAGGTCCTGATAAGAAATACAATAAAGAATGAAGTAAGTTTATGTTTAGATATGAATTCATTAAAAACAGAGCAGCAAATTTATGGAACACATTGGGAACACAGCAAAATTACGGCAAATTTTTATTTATTTTTTCAATTTTCAGTTTTTGCTGAAAATTGAAAAAAATTATCAAAAGTTATATTTGTTAAACTGAAGTTATATTGCAGTATATTATCAAAAGCTTTTGAAGTGAGTTTCTAACTCACTTGCTGTTAAGGCAGCTACAGTTTGTACTGTTTGTACTGTGGATTATTATATATTTTCAAATGTAAGCATCAGTTTTTTCAGCAATTTTTAGTATTTTGCTATTACTGATTATATATATATATATATATATATATATATATATATATATATATATATATATATATATATATATATATATATATATATATATACACACACACATATATATATATATATATATATATATATATATATATATATATATATATATATATATATATATATATATATATATACATACATATATATATATATATATATATATATATATATATATATATATATATATATATATATATATATATATATATATATATATATAAACTCTGTTTTTTTTCCAGTAACTCTCAACCTAATAGGTGTTGCTTGCCTTGTTGGGAGTGAATCAGAATTAAAAAAATTTGTAGAATACATTTAAAATTATTTTTATATATTTATCAGGGTGGTCACAGCTGGTCTAAGATCCTCTAAATTCCTCTTTTTTTAAAAATCTCCTCTAAAATCCCCTATTATCCTCTAAAAAATGTAATATTTGATTAAATCTTCTTTTTAACTTTTTTTTTTAATTTTTTTATTTCTTGATGGAGTGTTCTATGCTACAAATTCCTAATCTGCAAAACTGGTTAATGTCGTAAAGGGCAT